TGATATATTTACAGCTTATGTGCTGTGATTCTGGAATTTGCTTCCAAAGAGTATGAGAAGGAAAAAGTGAGTGGGACTATAAATGAAATAAAATTATCCATGAGTTGATCATTTTTGAAGCTGGGTGATGAGTAGAAAGGTTCAATATTCCACTGGATCTGCTTTTGTATATGCTTGAATTTTCTATAATGAAAAGTTTTTAACAGTAAGATACCTTACTGAATTCATTTTGCAAATATTTTATGTATACAAGAAATAAAAATCTTAAATGAAATTGGCATAGGCCAAATTTCCTCTTTCATACTGTCCTTGCCCTTTTGGATATGGAGGTTGTATTACTCTCAAAATATGAGTAGCTCTGCCTCTTTTCCTATTCTCTGAAAGTTTATGTAAGATAGGAACAATTTATTCCTTAAATGTTTACTTGTCTGTAAAACCATCTGGGCCTGAGATCTATGTGTGGAAGGGGGACGTATATTTTTAACTACTAATTCTAAAATTCTTTATTGCTATTATATCTACTCAGGATTTCAATTTATTCTTGAGTCAGTTTTGTTTAGTTATATGTTTCTAGAAAATAGCAATTTCATCTATTCCTCTGTCATTTTCAAATGTATTAGCATAAAATTGTTCATAAATGTTTTATAATCTTGTAGTTATGTCTCCATTTTCACACTTTTAATAACATTATTTGTGCCTTCTCTCATTTTCCTTGATAAATCTTAGCTCATTTTTATAATCACCTTTTCACAGAACCAGATTTTGGTTTCATTGAGTCCTACTGTTTCTTTGCTTTCTGTCATTAATTTCTGTTCTTAGCATTATAATCTTCTTTCTTCTACTTTCTTTGGGTTGCTTATGTTAAGTACTTAGCTCATTCATTTCAATCTTTCTTTTCACACAAGTGCATTTAAGTCTATGAATTAATCTCTTGAGTTAGCTGTATCTGAATGGTCTGATGTCTGATATTTTTATTTTGGTTTGGTTTCTGTAGTTTAATTTCCATGATCATTTCCTGTTTGATCATGAATTATTTTTAAATTTCCAAGCATGGCAATGTTTTATCTTTTGATTTCTCATTATATTGCATTGTGGGTTGCATACTGATTATCTGCTATTTGCTGAGATTTGCTTCGTGACCTGGTATGTGGTCAATTTTCATAAATTTTCTATGTACTTAAAAAATGTATATGATCTAATTATTAGTTGCAGGGTTCTATAAATGTCCCTAAGCTCAAGCTTGTTAACTGTTTTATTCAAATCTTCCATATCCTTACTAATGTTTTACCTGCTTGATATATTAATTATCAAGAGAAGTGTGTTAAACTTGACCAAGGCAGACACTCTGAGAAACACAAGAAAAAAAAAGGAAAAAAAAAAAAAAAGAGGCAACCACAGTAAATACTATCATATATACAACCCTACAACAGTAAAGTCAAATAACTTACAAGAAGATACACAGGTGATATGTATGTTGACTAAGGGAAGGAAGGCTTATAGGAGTATACCCACTGTCATGGATTGAACTATGTGCCCCAAAAATATATGTATTAATTTGGCTAGGCCATGATTCCCAGTATTGCGCGACAGTCTACCATTTTGTCATCTGATGTGATTTTCCTATGTGTTCTAAATCCTACCTCTATGATATTAATGAGGTGGGATGGGCGGCACTTATGTTAATGAGGCAGGACTCAATCCACAAGATTGGATTGTGTCTTGAGCCAATTTCTTTTGAGATATAGGGGAGAGGGGCGAGCAGAGAGACAGGGAGACCTCATACCACCAAGAGGGCAGCGCTGGGAACAGAGTGTGTCCTTTGGACCCAGGGTTCCTGCGCAGAGAAGCTCCTGGCCCAGGGGAAGATTGATGACAAGGACTTTCCTCCAGAGCCCACATAAAAAGCCTTCCCCTGGAGCTGATACCCTGAATTTGGACTTCTAGCCTACTAGACTGTGAGAAAATAAACTTCTGTTTGTTAAAGCCATCCACTTGTGGTATTTCTGTTACAGCAGCAGAAGACACCCATGTAGATATATAGGTTATCCATTTTATTACCTGTTGCCATCGAGTCAATTTCGATTCATAGCAACTCCATAAGAGAGAGTAGAACTGCCCCATAGGGTTTCTGGGGCAGTTGGTAGACTTGAACTGCCAACCTTTCGGTTAGCAGCCGTAGCTCTTAACCACTGTGCTACAGGGCTCCATATATATATTAGGCTGTGGATATTTTTACATACATATTTGTATGCATAGCATGTATACTCATATATATATAATAGAGCACAAAGGGGGCACAGTCACAGAAGCTTACTAGACACATCCGAACACCTTGAGGGACTGAGTTACTGGGTCTGAGGACCGGGGACCATGGTCTCAGGGGACATCTAGGTCAACTGGCACAACAAGAAAATATTCTACATCCTACTTTGGTGAGTAGCATCTGGGGTCATAAAAGCTTATGAGTAGCCATCTAAAAATACATCTATTGGTCCTAATCCATCTGAAGCAAAGGAGAATGAAGGAAACCAAAGATACAAGGAAAATATCCGTCCAAAGGACTAATGGACCACATGAACCACAGCCTCCACCAGCCTGAGCCCAGAAGAATAGAGGTGACCGGCTACCACCACCAACTGCTCTGACAGGGATCACAATAGAGGGTCCCGGACAGAGCTGAAGAAAAATGTAGACTAAAATTTAAATTCACCAAAAAACACCAGACTTTAGTGGTCTGACAGAGACTGGAGGAACCTTCAAGACTATTGGCCCCAGATACCCTTCTAACTCAGAACTGAAGCCACTCCTGAAGTTCACCTTTCAGCCAAAGATTAGACAGGCCTATAAAACAAACAATAACACGTGAGGAGCACGCTTCTTAGTTCAATCAAGTATATGAGACCAAAACAGCAACACCTGTTCAAAAGCAAAGACAAAACACAGGAAGGGACAGGAAAACTGGACAAATGAAAACAGGGAGCCTGGGGTAAAAAGGGGGAGAGGGTTGACATACTGGATTGCAACCAATGTCACGCAACAATTTGTGTATAAATTTCTGAATAGAAACTAATTTGCTCTGTAAACTTGCACCTAAAACAAAAAATAAATAAATAAATAAAAGAGAAGTGTGTGAAAATATTAATTGTAAATTTGTCCACTTACTGTAAATGTCAATTTTTTTCTTTATATATTTTGAAGTCACATTATCAGGTATACACAAATTAATGACACGTACCTTTTCCTAGAAATATGTGTCTTCATAGTGAGTTATCTCATTCCTAATGAATGAAATGTCTTATCCATGATAACGCTTTTGTCTTAGTCTAGTTTTTCTTAAAATTAATATACCTGTGCCAGCTTTCTTTTGATTTCTATTGCTTTCATACTGTCCTTGCCCTTTTTGGTAAGGAGGTTATATTAGTCTCAAAATATGAGTGTCAGAATGTTTAGGACCCGTCACTCATAAATAACAATATAATTATTTTGTTTGTGGCATTTTTTAAAAAATTCCATTCTGGAGCCACCATGTTTTCTCTGGTAACTTTGGTCTGTTTATATTTGTTTTGATAACTGATATAGTGGAAATTATTCTGCCATCTTATTTTGTTTTGTAAACACCATGTTTTTTCTTTGCTTTTTCCTTTTTTGATTTTGTTTTTTCCTCCTTTCCTGCCTTCTAGTGGACTTAAATGTTCTCCGCTGCCTTTCCCATACACACTCTACTAGTTTGTAACATGTACATTCTCTCTGTCTCTCTTTTTAGTTTTCCTAAAATTTTTAACAGGATTACATGAAAGTAGAATCAATATTATTACTCTCCCCTGGAACAGTAAGACCTCAGAAACCCTTAACTAAAATCACCATCCCACCTGTCTTACATATTGTGTTCAAGTACAGTATTTACTTCTTGTGGGTTTAAATTAGTTATTGTGTTGTTTTATATAAGCAGTCTGTCCAGGTTTGCCTACATGTTTACTAATTTCTTTACTAATTCTGATTCTTGTAACATCTTCTTCATTCTGGGTTCAATTTTCTCCTTCTAACATACAACTACCTTCAATGGTTCTTTCAGTAATGGTCCACGAGTGGTGAACTCTCCATCTCCATCCAAAAATGTATTTATTTCTCCTTCACTTTAGGATGACAGTTTTGAAAGTTATTTTCCGTTGGCACTTTTAAGATATTATTCTATTGTTTTTTGGCCTATACTAATGCTCTTGATAAGTCTGGTAAACTCATAATTGTTCAGTTACAAAAAACCTATCTTCTCTCTCTGGTTACTTTAATATTTTTTCTTTATATTTAATGCTCAGTAATTCCACTAGAATGTGTCAAATTGTCTTTTTTTTTCTGCTAGATGCAGTCACAGAAAAGAGAAAAAGTGATCTGAGTGACGATTTTCTTAATTTTCCCAAAGAGTGTTCAGAATTATTACCATGCTATGTGTATTTAAAAAAAAAAAAAAAAATCAAACCCAATGCCACTGAGTCAGTTCCAACTCATAGCAACCCTACATAACAGAGCAGAACTACCTCATAGGGTTTCCAAGGCTGTAATCTTTATGCGAGCAGGGTGCCACATCTTTCTCCCAAGGAGCAGCTGGTGGGTTCAAACCTCCAACCTTTCGGTTAGCAGTCAAGTACTTTAACCACTGTGCCACCAGGGCTCCGCATGCTACACGTATAAGAGATGTTAACTCATTGCATACGGGGGATGCCCTAGGGCAGTGATCCTCTAACTTTAGCATGCAACAGAAACACCTGGGGAAATTATTAAAATATAGACTGCTAGACCTTACCCTCAGTTTCTGATTCAGTACATCTGAGGTCCTACCAGGAGTCTACATTTCTAACAATCTTGATTTTTGAAAAGAATGTTATGTATTACTTTAGCAACAAAAAAATACAATGGAAAAAAATTTTTAAAGCCATATTCCATGTTGTATTATTTAAGGAAAAAGTTTGATTAATTATGAAACTATTTCAATATATTACACTTACCAGATTTAAGACCTGAAATTTTGAAGATGGCACTTGGTTTCCCATTTGTGACAAATCCCAGGAGTTGCCATACTGGCATTCCACTTGAATCAGGATACGAAAAGTAGACAGATCCTCCCATTCCCTCAGGAAATGGGATTGTTCCCAGCATAAAAACCACAACATGGTTGATATTTTCATAATCAGGCAAGTCAAAAACAAATTTATCCTCTGCCACTTGCTGTGCAGCTGTTTGCACCTAGAAAATAAGAAACTCATTTTAGTTCAATATTTTGATAAGTTTCTATAGCCCTCATACTATCACTATAAACTATGTTACCAACTATAGTCAAAACATATAATGTTGGGTTAATCTGATACTCTAATTATAGAATTACCAAATGCACCAGAGAGTGTTAAGTATAACAGAGAATCACAAACATACATATTTAGCCTTAAAATGATCATTCCATGAAGGTAGTATTTTTGAAATATAAATTATTTTAGAAGTGCCCAGAAAGGATTTTCCTTACATAAATAACTACAGCTTCAGAATGTTGTAAAAACAAAAAGTTGTTCAAAACACCACACACTAAGGCCTTATTCTATAGTTTGAAGGTAAAGAATCACAAGTAATTAAAATGGGCAAGCAATATAGAAATAATTACATAAAAAGTTAAATTTCTACATTGAATTTCGCTCATTTTGTAATCTGATTTCCTGTTCCAGAATAGAATGTCATTTTAGAAAGTGAGATCTTATTCTGAAGTTTAAGAAACCTACTTTTCACAGGGAAAATTCTTTTAGTTTTCTAAAAGTGTAATTGCTGTTAACATCTATTAGCAAAAAGAAGTATTAATTTTGAAAGCACTCAGGTTGACAGGCTATCAGAGTGTGCCTTATGTAAGGTTTTTTTTTTAACTGCTCTTGCCCCTCTATTCACCAAAACACAAAATCAGAATTACTACCAGTATTTTAAAGACTCTTAAATGGTCAATTTTTATTACCTAGAATGCAACTTCTTTTCCTTTGCTAGTACTTGTTGATTGTTACTGAAATGTTTACTTTCTCCCTCTATAATATCCCATCTACTACTACAAAGAAACTTAAGGGAAACATACTGCTATATGACTATTTATAAGCAAGTTGTAGTATCAATTATTTTAGAATTGTACTATCTAGGCACTTCTTGCTTACTCTGGACATTTTATCAGCAGAGTCCAGTCCCTGGAGAAGGATATCATGCTTGGTAGAGGGTCAGAGAAAATGAGGAAGACGCTCAACGAGATGGACTGACAACAGTTGCAACAATGGGCTCAAACATAGCAACGACTTAGGAGATGGTGAAGGACCGGGCAGTGTTTCGTTCTGTTGTACGCAGGGTCGCTTTAGGGTCGTTACCGACAGCACCTAACAACAACAATCATCAACTGCCCTAAATTAAATTCCCAAGAGGTCAAGACTGAGTATTCTTAAGGTTAACTTCTGATTCCTTCTTCTGAAGCTTGCTGACTCAGTTCAAAACCCTCCAGTTTAAATATAAAAAATGAAATCAAAGGTGGAACATATACTAAATATAAACCAACCCGCCTTTGTAAGCATTAAATTCAATTTCAATAGTTTCTGGCATGCATATGACCTTAGACAGCATATAAAAACATGGTATCTACAAATCTTGAAATAATCATCAGGGAAAATAAATATTTCTTAAGTGTCAGCTCTGTACAGGACACCAGTCATTCTGTAAAACTGTATTATGAAACTCTAATTCTTGACCTTAGGAAAAAAGATATCTGTCTTTTGTTCAAGAGAATTTTCAGAGAATAAAAAACTGTATTCATAACTCTAGATGAACTGGGTTCTTCTGGTAACAGTATAATGTAGCTAAGTTTTGAGAAGTCACTAGGTCTATTTACCCTTCATGTTGATTAACCTCTTTTAATACTCCAGAATTAAAGAGCCAAACACCCTTCCTCCCTCCCCCCCAAAAAAAGAAATTCTTGTCCTGAAGGAACCTGTACTAGACATCCATTACAGAGGTTAGATGTTGGGTAAATAGCTACAAGATATTGCTATAATTAAACTGTCTTCCAAAATAGCTGACAACATAAGAGATACATGGATTCTGTAGTCTTTTTATTCTTTAAAAACACACACACATTTTTAATGTCTCATCCGAATTCTACTCTTCCCAAGTTGCTCCTTTCATTTTCCCTATCAAGAGCAGGAGCAATAGAGTTTTCTCACCAGGATTCCCAACTACCACCATCATCACAAGGGGCCTCCCAGTCATTCAAGAGATACAGCCTGATGAGGTTAGTCCTCATGTAAGACTTTGCTTTCTGAAGGTAGTCCTAATTTATCTTTGAGGTTGCTCAAAACTGTGTCCAGAATACGTTATCAAAAGTTGATGAAAAACTTAACAATAATTCAACAAAGGGGCTGCAACATTTAAGAAGGCAAAGTGGAAGACGAAGAAAAAGCTCTAAGTGAACCAGGTCTGAAAATGGATTTCTGGGTTGTTTATATGAAGGCAAGCAAAATTCACCCTCCAAAATTCACCTAAACAAGCGCAGGTGCTGATCTCACTTAATTCTTAAATCTGACAAGGTAGGTTATTATCTCTTACAACCAAAAAGGAAGCATGCTCTTCCCATCCTTCTAGGGTTGTTCCAGTTACGGCTCACAGTAAGTTTCGGGCATTTCCATCAGCCAACTTCCAACTACGTTAAGGACATTTTTTACTAGAATCCTTCCAAAGGGACCCAGACGATATGCATTGCCTGAACACCTTAACCTTTGAGAAACAGGCTAGACTCAAATCCCAAGTTTACCTCTAACTCACCGTGTGAATTAACGAGACTATTTATACTGTCGACTAAACTCAAGTTCCTCAAGAGCAAAAAGGGAATGATAATAACCATCTCACGAGTTATTAAGTTTAAGGTGCCAAATGAGCGTTATATACAAGGCTGAAATGACGAATAATTGACAAAAGGCGTGCGTAGCACTTAGCCTGGTGCATGGTACATAATGACACTCGACAAATGGCAGCTAATGTTGTGATTATTATTCAAATGAATCTGAACAGAGTTGGGAGTAAAAAAAAGCACCCCACTAGCCACCCTCTCACAGCCAGTCAAAAAGTAGACAAGAGTGGATCTGCCCGCAGCACTCGCTCCGGTGCACCATCCCGTCCCGCGGGCTTCGCCCTCAGTATCCTGCCCCCTCTCTAAAACCATCCCCCTCCATCCTCACCAGCCTCCCCGCCACCAAGCAGCCAAACATGGCGACGGCAGCTCCGCTGAGCGGGCAGGTACCCGAAGCCAGCAACTAGAAATTCTGGGTCTACTGCCCTAGTCAAGTCCAAGAATCTTCCAGAACTTGCAGGACAGCGCCAGCCACTCCACTACATAGCGACTTGGCCGGCGGCAGGAACGCCTTCTGCCCTGCGACCTCTGACATTTTGTAATCAACCAAAAGTACTTCCGGGGCTTACGTCCTGCCGCCCCGACTAAGGGAGAAAAGTGGGCCAGAGCCAGTACGAGACTACAAATCCCAGAGGGAACTGCGCTTGTTTCCGGGAAGGGGATCCAGAAAGATTTGCCTACTGGGATTGGTAGTCTGGGTTTTCTGCCCGCACAGCTTGATTCAAAGTTTCCGAGTACAATGCTGAGAGAAGTTTGACGTTTTTGTAACGTTTTACAGATTACCTTGTACTTGCACAGTCATCACCTCACTACATTGCTTACAACAACTCTATGAGGTAAGTATTATTATCTCAATTTTTTAGTGAGGACATTTAGGCTCACAGTGACCAGCCTTAGATCTTTACGCAGCACTTAAGTGGAGGAACCTGAACTCAGGTCCTGCTCCAAATCTGGAGTTCTTTCTGTTGTTGTTGTTGTTGTTAGGTGCCATGGAGTCAGTTAACGACTTATAGCGACCCTATGTGCAACAGAACAAAACGCTGCCCGCTTCTGTGCCATCGTCAGAATCATGGCTGTTTGAGCCCGTTGCTGCAGCCACCATGTCAATCCATCTCTTTGAGGGTCTTCCTTTCTCGCTGACCCTCTACTTTACCAAGCATGATGTCCTTTTTCAGGGACTGGTCCCACCTGATAACATGTCCAAAGTATGTGAGACAAGTCTCTGCCATCCTCACTTCTAAGGAGCATTCTGGCTGTACATATTCCAAGACAGATTTGTTCGTTCTGGCAATCCGTGATACATTCAATATTCTTCGCCAACACCATAATTCAAAAGCATCAATTCGTCGGTCTTCTTATTCACTGCTCAACTTTCCCATGCATATGAAGCGATTGAAAAATACCATGGCTTGGGTCAGGCACACTTTAGTCCTCAAAATGACGTGTTTGCTTTTTAACACTTTAAGGAGGTCTTTTGCAGCAGATTTGCCCAATGCAATGTGTCATTTGATTTCTTGACTGCTGCTTCCATGGGTGTTGATTGTGGATTCAAGTAAAAAATGATAATCCTTGACAACGTCAAGCTTTTCTTCATTTATCGTGATGTTCCTTACTGGTCCAGTTGTGAAGATTTTTGTTTTCTTTGTGCTGAGGTGTAATCCATACAGTAGGCTGTAGTCTTTGATCTTCATCAATAAGGTCTTCAAGTTCTCTTCACTTTCAGCAAGCAAGGTTGTGTCATCTGCATATCGCAGGTTAATGAGTAAGTCTTCCTCCAATCCTGATGCTGCATTCTTTTTCATGTAGTCCAGCTTCTCGGATTATTTGCTTAGTTTACAGATTGAATAAATAGGGTGAAAGGATGCAACCCTGGTGCTCACCTTTTCTGATTTTAAACCAGGCAATATCCCCTTGTTCTGTTCAAACGACTGCCTCTTGGTCTATGTAGCTGAATTATGGCCTAGGAGTTTTTTCTGATAAATCCTAATTCAGCTATACCATACCATTTTTAATCAATTGCTTTGTACTTGTTGACAACTTTATTGTATCTCTTTCCAACTTCACTTAGCACCCCAAGTATTTGCTATTTAACTCTGGGCAAGTTATATAACATCTTTGTGCTTTGGTGTCCCCATTTGTAGAATAAGAACAATAATTGTGCCTATCTCTTAGGGTTACTGTGGTGATTCAATGAGTTAATATATCTAAATCACTTAGAATAGTGCCTGGCAAATAGTATATAATTAATGTGAGTTTTGTTGTAAAATGTCTAATTTTTTCTCTCTGCGCTTGGAGAAAATGTTCATAGGAAATACAAAATAATAGCCAAAAGAACTGGTATCAAGTACTGATTGCCACCAAAACTCATTCTCCCTCTCAAAGCATCAATTCCCTTTCCTCTTGAATAGGAGGGTAGAATATCCCCTCCTCAAGAATCTCTGCCCAACTTGAAATATCGGAGTTTAGACCACTGGCCATAAGCAGGTCTGTCTTCCTAACCCAGATTATACAGGGAAAACTAGAGTGTTTGAAACAGCGCACTCTGGGTCCACAAGCTCTGACCACCTATCTTATCTCAGATACTCCTTTGAGATAGCCAGACCAAAGATGAAGAGATAGGAAAGGATTTTTCTACCAATGTCTCCAACTTTCTACTGAAAAAAAACCCAGAACCTTCAGAATAAAATAGCTATTCATAATGAAGCTACTTCATGAGGGGCAGCCACACTGTCTGGGGTCAAAGCCCATCTCTGCCATTTTTGCTATGCAGCAAAAACTAACTAACACACCCTTGCAGTTAGTTCTTTCACAATCCGTATTTTTTTTAATCTATTGATTTTCCTCACCTATAGCCAAACCTATTGCGGTCAAGTCAATTCTGACTTATAGCAGCCCTGTAGGACAGAGTAGAACTGCCTCATAGGGTTTCCAAGGCTGTAAATCTTTATGGAAGCAGACTGCCACATCTTTCTCCCATAGAGTGGATGGTGGGTTTGAACCTCTCACCTTTAATTAGCAGCCAAGCAGTTAACCACTGCCCCACCAGGGCTTCTCTTCCCTTTAGCAGATACTGGTAATTATCTATTTAACATCCATTTCCCTCCTTCCTTGTTAACAGAACCCCAGCTTTGTTCAGGTATCCACTCCTTCATGGATTCAGTAGCTTCAGGAAACAACCTGCTTGATCTAATCAGCAATTTTCCATTTCCTTTATAGTGACCAGTTTAGGATCCATCCCATAACCCAATTTTGGTCAACAAAACATAAGAGGAGGAGGCAGGGCCAAGGCGGAGTAGTCAGATGTTTCTGGTGTTTCGTCTTACAACAAAGACCTGAAAAAACAAGTGAATCAATTATATATAACAATCCAGGAGCCCTAAACATCAAAGGCAAAGTTGAGGAACTAGATTGAGTAGCAAGGGGAGGGAGAGACAGTTTGGAAGCAGCGAGGAGTTGCCAGACCTGCCCCAGCGAGAGCCTGAGCCCTTCAGCCTGGATCAGCTTGGGGGTGAGCGGTAAGGCAGGCAAGCAGCGGTGCTCAGGAGGCGTTTTCCGCACCAGGAGAGACCCAGCGGCAGAGAGTCTACTCGGCCGTCCAGAACCAGTAAGCAGCAGCCTTCAATTGGAGGAAGATAAGTACTTGCGTCTGGCCTACCACGCAGATCAAAAATACCCCCCCTAGGGAAAAACCTCTCTCCCATTTACCTCCCTGCTGCCTGCTCTGAACTGGGTCCTAGACCAGCTTCAGCAATTGCCGAGTCCCCTGGGCCGGAAGTAGGACCCATCACGTGCCCTGAGCCATTCTCCCGACCTTGGAGAGTGAACAAATTAACAAACGGGGAAAAATAATCTGCTGGCTCCCCTAAGATAGGAACTCAGGGCAGGCACAGCTCCTTTGCCTAGGCACAGGCATAAGGGATCCATGGACTTTGGGTACCTTTCCCCCTGCATAGACTTGTGTGGGCCCATTTCAACAGTGTAGGCCCTCATTACTGCAGTACAACAGGGTATATACCTGAAGTCTAACTTCAACTGTTTCTGCTGTGAAGTGGCAGGTTCGTGACATTTGACACTACTCTGCCCATTAAGAAGGGTCTTCACCTGTCCAAATCTGGGGCCTGAGGACTGGTGGCTCCACCCACACCACCTAGCCACCTGCTCCAGGGGCGCAAGAATAAGAAGTGCCCCCCAGTACTGACACCCGACAGCACTGGGTGCTTGTAGTCTGGCTGCAAAACCCATCCAACTACGTGCTCTAGGGAACAGAGACACACTTTTCTCCTGGACACTCGGGGTGTCTGTCAGCCTCCTGCTTTGCTCAGCCTGTGTCCCCGTGCTGCAGCCGGATGTCTGTGCCTACACCAATCACACATGCCTCTCTAGAACTGTAGGTGAGAGCCTGCATCACACACTTGGTGGCCAACTACCTGGACACCTGAGCTGAATCCATACAGGAGAAGTGGGCAGACTCCTGGGCTCACATACTTAGTG